ATTGGGATCTGATTGAAACGTATATCAATTATCGAAAGGAAACATATATGACAGACCTAACGGCAGCAAATGGCAGTTCAAGGGGCAAAACTTAGGTACCTTCAGTACCACTTTGACTACGAAGAGGAATTTCTGCATCACAATTACACCTAGCGACAATGAAAACCTTCTTTTAGTATCTTATATGTCCCACTGATTTCATGCTCGCAACATTTCTGTGCTGGTCAGGTGGTAGGGAAAAGTAACGGCAAGTTGGAAGTATTGAGTTCTAAGTATGTCATATGTACCCTGTCTCCTTTGTACTGCTCTCGGATTTGTCATGGATCTTAACAGATGATGATGTTTCCTCACCATGCTCAGGAGAATGCGTTGTTTTTAGGTTCTCCTTTGCTTTTAGGGTTCCATCTTTTGCGTCCTTGCATTCAATATCCATGCTCTTGGAATTTGAACTATCCACTGCCATCGGGTCCTCCGAAAACAAGAAATCATTTCCAGGGGTATTTTTAAGTTCAAATTGTTCACACTTGGCCGGCCGGAGGTTTGATTTTCTTTTATCATCTCCACAGATACTTCCCTGTACTGATATGTCAGCAAACCCTGTCTCTCCATGCGGACCAGCAGTATGGGATGAATCCAGGGAAACAACTTGTACTCTAGAAGCTGGAGATAAATCTTGCTTGACTGATCCAGACCTAACCTTTGAGAATACTGGAGAATCATAAGAGTTCGTATGATTAAATGGTTGGCCGAATGCAGACTTCTCAGAGGTAAAACAGCCAGAAGGTGAACATTGGATAGATTCACTTTGCTCAGGTCTATCAAAGCAAGATTTGACAGCAACATTGAGTTCAGCAACAGGAAATGTACCGAGAGGATCTTCGGTCCACAGCTTGCATCCTAAAGATGGAAGTTTTGTCTCTGAGGTGCAATGGAAAGAACTGAAACCCAAATCTATATCATCTGAATTGCATCCTTCCTCAAGCAACCATGTCTGAAAAGATCCTGTTATCCCTAGGAAACAAGAGCTTACGGGCTTGGTGGCTTTTGACCTGGGAAGCACTGGCGTCTTCATACAATTTCTAGATCGTAGCCTAAGATTATCCCTGTCTGCGCAATTTGTTTCCTTGGTAAAAACACTGTCCACGTCATACTTCCTGGTAGTTCTGCCACAAGTATTGCTTATTCTCCTGCTCTGCCTAGGCGTTGAATTTGGAGGTGAACTATCTATTTTTTCGCCTCTCACTGCAATGAATTGTTTTGAATGATTGCTTTTGTTTCGCAAGAGGAGCTTTTCATTAAAGACTACAACAAACTGACAATGAATTATCAGAGCAGCTTATGAAATCAATAACTTAACCTGCGCTAGATGAGCATGATTCTTCACTGCCAAAGTTTTAGGGAAAGAACAGGAAACATGTAAGTTAAAGCAGGACCAATAAACCAAATCACCTTGAACACAAAAAGTTCCTATAATTTACCTCGGCAATCTCAAATTATCCTTTGCATCTTCAGTCTCAAAATAAGGCCAGTCCGGTTCGCCTGGCAAACCTCTAATATCAACATTCCTTTGGACTGGGGTATGGCTGCCATCATACAAAAGCAATTTCTTTTAGAAAAGAAAAAAAATGCCAAGTTTCCCGGGTACCTTTAAAGGGATCTTTCATACCTTACTCCAATTAAAGTTGTGAAATCACGACCAATTTCTGATGTTGTGTGCTTTGGAGAAGGTGGCCCTGAATATGGACAAAGATCGATAAGAGATGATACCAAAGTAGTTCTACATTCTTAATCGCAATTCTCATCACAGTGTGATATATCAAGAAAGAATAATAACAGGATATGAAAGAGGGCAAACACACATTATTCACATGTAACTCCTCTCTTTTAGAGGTAACTTTAGTTACCAATCCGGAGATGACTCCACGGAAATTTCTCAATAAAGTGTGGTATAGCACTCCAAATTCCTAAAAAACATATAGATGGTGCCAATAGCCCAATACAGAAAATTGCTTTTATCTATGAAGCAAACCCAGAATAATGTATGAATAAAGATAAACTGTTCAACTTTGTTAATTAATTACAAAAGCGTTGAGCTAAGCTATTCCATGGATTGAATGAGAAAGAGCACCTAAACTGTTGAACTTTGTTGCTTTCACATCCCTGCACAGGTGTAACAACTTCATCAAAAACAAAATATAATCCTATCTCTCAGAACAAGGAAGTATACATTGTTGATGGCTCACCTTTTCTTCAGCACGTGATGGCCTTCAAAAGCATAATCTGACAACTCACCCTTGCCATATTCCAAAAAATCTCCAGCATCTATTTTGTGTGGCCAATACTTCCAAGAAACGTCGTCTTTCCGTTCATGTAGAAAGTCATCACCCAGGAACCGAGGCCTAGCTGGCAAACCAAATGAGCAAAAGAAATGACATCTGTGGTACCAGACAAGCCATCCATTGGATAATGAGGTTTAAATAGGAGAAAAGCTTCGTCAGTGAAAATCATAGTTCACACTAGTACTTATTAACACTGAAATGGCCTGATGACAAAATTTACAGTATGTTGAAAGAGGTATGTTCATGATTAAGTCAATCAAAGTTGATGAAGGAGATGCATATGAATAACACAAATTCTACCTTCAAAACAATTAACGATAGATAGGGAAAAGGATTTCTGAATATCTTAATGACAAGTTGTTGCGAAGTGTGAAATGAATAGTAAGAATTGTGATTAAGGAAAAAAACAACTAAGACCAAAAAGAACTGAGATTTACCGTCGGACGTATCTTCCCTTCTCCTTATGTTGGAGAAAATGTTTGTGTCACCAAAAGTGCACTCTCTGTTACTATAACGGCTGTCAAGTTGCATGTGGTCTGTGACAGTGGATAGATTTGTTCTCCCATTGCCATGTAAATCCGTTTTGCCCAGTGAAAACTCCGAAGCTTTGCCAACAAGTGGCATATTGATGTCCTGCATCATTGCATCCTGCATTTAGCACATAATCATAGTCAGTTCAATCTGAACCAAAATCAACATAAGAAACTTGAGTTCAATGTTTAAGGGACAATACAATACATTCATTTCAGAGGAGAAGAAAATGAAGGAAAAAAATTGAGTATTTCATCCAATAACCTGACCCCACCATTTAAGGTTAAAAAACATTAAGTTTCAGAATTCGAACATATAGTACATTCTTGGGATACTAATGTTGGGAATGAGGTCAGGATTGCAAGTAGTCTGTCTCCTTTTTCTGTCAGGCAGATCCTTTTGTCCATTAAGGTTTACACAGGCTAAAATTACAAGTCAGTACTCCCTTGGCCTGTTGCGTATAATACTTACGAGATTCAACTGAACCAAACTTTTCAAGCCAGGGAAAACTTGCAGAAGCAAGTTAAAGCGCAAAAACAAAGAGCTAAAACGCTTTCATGTGAAGGTCACTTTTTAAGTAAAAGATTAATTCACAGAAAATATAGAAATAAAAAACTTAGAAAGTAGATCAAGTAATGCTCTCACCATTTCTAGTTCAATATCATTCAGTAGATGGTTAGAATTCTTGGATGAGTTTAGTTGCCTTGCAATGTTCCAGGGAAATGCACAATCATCAGAAGGGACTCTACAATTGTAAAAAGTTAAGATATGTTTAGATAAAAATTTACCACCCTTTAACCCATTTGAAGTGGAATGTAGATTGATGCAGTTGCAGTTTAAGGCAACAATGACGCTGAAAGTAGTCTAAGCAAACTGAAACTAGCTTTTATTAGCACCAAGAGACAATTATCTAACATGTGAATTGATATGGGAAATGAAAGAGTTTGTGAACTACCCATTACCTGCCCTGTTGTTTTGGAGAATGCAGTGGAGTCTCTGCTCTGATCTTGCCTAAACCTGATAGACCAAATCAAGCGCTAAAGTCTAATATAGAATTGGGTAATACCATGCTTTTAAGAAAATGTTGAAAGCCAAAATCATTGCATCAGCATCTTGATAACATACAGGAAAAGGACTAATGCTAGTAGAGATAACGTTAATGATGCACTACACGTTCAATAGAGACTAAAAGGGTAAGGATAACTGTAATAGAATTGCTTCCTATTTTAGACAGCTACTTTCTTTGCTGTTTTATTTGAAGTTGTCCACTTATTTTCAGACGATTCCCAGAGTTTTCGGTTTTTGGTTTATTATCCATCCTTTTTTTTCTCTGGATGCAATTCTAAAATTGACTCTTCTTTTCAATCAGCAATAAATTTGAATAAAAAGAGGAAAATTCAGGAAAAACAGTTTTTAATGTAGTTTGCTTGCGGTCTCTTTTAAAAATTCACTTCTGCATGACCTACTGCCTTGAACCCTCCCCCAATTGTTAATGCGTAAGATCATACCTTCAATTGAAAATGCAGCATGAGCTTCATGAACCAGACTTCTTTCTAAAGTGTCCCCTGATGCATCATCACTAAGCATGTCGAAAACAGAAAATTCTGGAAAAATAAACAACGGAAGCAAAATTAGGGGAACTAGATATTTTAGTAATTTAGCAGCAAGTAAAGATCCTAATAGTATGCTGCAGCTAACGAAATGCACTAAAGCATACAATTCCATCAGGAGATATGGAAACTGCAAATCAAATTAGTTGAGAGCTCTTATAATTAATATTACAACTTACGTTTCTCACCGGCTGCATTCAAGAGATCAGGACTATTATTTATTCCATTTGAGGCATGGTTGTCATGACTGAAAAATGAAACCCTATGTAGCAACAAAAGCATTGACTTTTCACAAGGTCAGCAAGCTTTCTTGATGACTCAAAAGAGTCGTATGCATTGTTTTCAATGCAGAGTTATTATTTCAAAATAATACATTGTTTATGCTTTATATATATATATATATTTTTTTTTTTGCAAAAAAGGGGACACTCAGTCATAGTTAAATATTTATGTGAAATTGTTAACATGAATAATTGAAGCCATGTTTAAAATTTTGGGGGTTTCTCTGCCTAGTGCCTTATCCAATAAAAGTAATTTGATGTTTATCTCCATAGTAAAGGATATTTTAGTTAAATCAACGTGAATGAAACGCACAAGCATGGCGACATAAAGTAGTTACCTACTTTGGGTATTGTAATTCCGATTGGCAGCTTGATGGTGGTGCACCTGTGCCAGCATTATGACATTATGCACTGAAAACCTATGAAGTCCAAAGAAGCCAGACTCTAAGTTCACAAAGCCATGCAAAGAGTTATTAATATGTACCTGCTTCCTTGATTTGAACAGAGTATGGAGGGACTGAATTTGTAATGATTGTTGGTCGATCCTTTGGGATATGATACTTCATTGTTAGAGCACCAGTCTTACTATCCTGTCCTATATGGTTGAGAACATAGAATACAGGGGGGAAAAAAGGGCTGGTCACAAAATTTGAACAGAATACAAGAAAAACAAAGGCATAAAATTAATTGTGTGTATTTGTAGATAATGCATAATAGCAGGCAAACCTACAAATTAATTCAAGTTTGATATCAACTAAAGCACGGAAAAAATATCAGTGACAGAAATGGAGGGGCCATTCAGACAGGAAAACATGATTGAAGATCATTGCAAATGACAAACAAAAGTACTGCTAAATGCCTTACTGCAAAGAGCAAGGCATGGAGGGTCACGGATGTAGCCATTACAGCTTGACATTCCAAGCAGTCTCATTTTCTCATATATTAGTTCGCCAATATAAATTTTGGACACTTACTGCTGGGACAAGACCTGCCTTCTTCAGGAACCGTTGAGAGGTTTAGCAGGCTGAGGATATCTAGAGATCGATATTCCTTTTGATGTTTCCCCTGTATACTAGTTTCATCATCATAGCCCTCAGAACCTGCCATCTGTAGCTGCTGTTCTCGTTTCCTTTGTTCAAAGTATCGCTTTTGCCTTGACAATTACAAGGAAATGCGTAAAAAGTATCAATTGGACAATATTTTCCGCAAAATTAGCTGACTGTTTAGTGGATTTTATGTTGCCATGCGTGACAGGAAAATCGTTGATAAATAATAAAGCAAAGAAAAATTAGAACAAGGTTCTGTACCTTTTCTGAGTAGACTTCCTTGACTGAAATTCTCCACAGACAGCATGCACACAAGTAATGTCAGAGCAGAAGTTCTCTATTATTTGGTATAGCAAATGCAGTTCAAAATGTCATTCTCATACTCATAAGCAGGAAACTGAAGCATACAGAAGTCCTCTGGAAGCAATTAGTTGAAGTTATTAAGGTCAATTGCAGCAGAAATTAACCGGCAGAAGATTTACATGTAAGGAAACTCAGCCTTCAGACTAAATCTTTGCTCGGTAGGTAGATGGAAAGTTTTTAACCCAATTTTTATGCAAAAAAGTCAGAAAGTGATTATGAAACTTGGCAAATTACATTGGAAATTTCCATCCTCCCTACCAAGCAAAGCCTAAGTGGCGATCCGTTTTCAAAAGGTCTGGTCATAATTTAGAAAATGATAAGTTGTCTGCAAAATGCAGCCATAGTTTCATATAGAAATTCATCCTTATGTGCATACATTTGATAGAAATGCAATTTCTAAGTTGAAAGCAGCTAGACGAGTGAGTCCAGCAAGAACATATGGCAGCATTAATATCTCTTGCAACTTCCACAGCAAGTTCAAAGTTGAAACATCGCAAGAACAATCATGAGCTAAAAGCTCAAGCAATCAAAGCATCTGTCTAGCGACAAGTAAAAACCGCTGAGCTCAGCTATGAGGCTGTTGACACACAAAAACTAAAAATTCCAAATAAAGCACGCTTACAGTTGTGACTTTCCGTCTTGATCCTCCCATCCATTGCAACATTGTTTGCGTCCGCCGCCGCAGAAAGAATAGAAAAGAATAGTTGAAGAAACCGAGCAAATGAGATGACCTGTGCTGCTTAGAAATTAATTAAGCTCTGAAAATCTAAGAAAGAGTAATGCAAATCGGAAAGCAACGTTTATATAATATATATATATAGATGATATATTAATGAATTAAAAGTTTGAAACATGGAGTATCGGCTGCATCGCATTGCAGTTTGCAAAGCTGTGCATGATTAATTAATCTAGAAAGAGCAGGAAAATTACTAAACTCAAAATCTTAATCGTACCTGTAGCTGGTAGAAAAAGACAAATTGAAAAGCTCCGTTAATTTGAATTCCTCAGTCTTCAGAGAATCTGAAAAGGAAGAAAATGAAATCCATTCTCAGATGGATGGATCCAACAGCTTTTGTTCTAATCAGAGGCCGGCGAACTATTAGCACTTCCCTCACGCTCTGCGATTCCCGCGATCTGTGAGTTATGATATATATACGTCGGTTTTAAATGGTGGTAGGGGTAAGGAGGAAGGGGTCAAGCCCTTTTCTCATATGGGCTTCGCCCATTACTTCCAGCCTTCTTTCTGTCTCTCTTTTTCCTTGAGCTTAAATTGGTGTTGTGGAATTGGGTATGTCATAAATTGGAAGGAGGCCGGCTTCTCCCCTTTTAATTTGGTATTAGAAAAGTACAAGAACAGCAGGTGATGACAAAATAAGGCTCTCCTCTTGAATTATTCTTTTGAATAAAGCATACATTTTGTTATTCAACTTTTTTTTTTCTATTATCATTTGAATTTAAATTTAAATTTTAAACTACTTATCAGAAATAGTATTAGAAGTGGATTTATTACGTTGTTTGTTATTCATCTTGTTATCAGATCCGGGGTCGAAAAAGCTAAACGAACGCGTGCTATTGCTATATATGATACAGAGGTGAAAAAACGAACATCAAACTTATTGCAAATCTTGAGTCATCGTTTTAGGTCCATAGACTTTTACATTGTCACATCTCACAAATATAATCAAGACAATGTCCTCCCTCCCTTTTTTTTTCTTTTCAACAATCTCGCAACGAGTTCATAAAAAAGAAAAAATATCAAGTAAAAAAGAGATATGTTTAAAAATAACTTTTAAAGATAAAGATATTTTTAAAAATTATCTTTTGTATAATTTTAACTATTTTTAATCGAGTTGGATAAAAATACTTTTAATGAAATTACACGCTATGATGTTACACGCTATGTATAGAAACATGTTACACGTTATGATTAGATTGTTACAGACCATATATAAAAACGTGTGACACGCCATAATTAAATTATTACACATCATGTTTAAAAAAATAATATTGTTACACGTCATGTACCAAAATATGTTACACACTTAATTAAAAAAGGTTGTTACATGCCATCTTGAACCAAACATATTATTATTACACACCATGTACAAAAATATGTTATACGCAATGGTTTAAAAAAGTTGTTACACACTATATTCAAAAACATTTTGTTACACTTTAATGCTTAAATGGTTATTATTACTTACAAACTAAAACTTCAAATCTTTAACTCTTTTTATTTTTTTTTATTTTTTTGATAATTTGGTACCGATTAAAATATTTCTAACATGTTTTTATAAATCAAAACACAAATTTTTTTATCTAAAATACCTATTTTGGCTAAAAATTAAAAAAAATTATTGAAAACCTAAGTTTATAAATTTTAAATTTGAGTTTATTGATGTCTAGATCCCAAATTAATTCAATTAAAAGCTATTTCAAACATCTGTGATCATTTTTATTATTTAGTTTTATCCAAAATACCTAAAAATTAAAATTTTCAAATAGTTATCTGCACATCAAAACCATTGTTTGGTGTCTTCAAAGTATTAGAAAGAGAAATATGAAATCATAAGAGAGAAATCGAAAACATAATAGACAAACGCTAAAAGAGAAATCGATAAATATAGAGAAAGTGGGATGTTGAAAGAGAGAAATTGGAGACACAAATAGAGAGAAATTGTGATGAATAATTTCATTTATTTAAAATAATTTTAAAGATATTTTTATTAAATCATGACTAAATATGACTAAAAATAATTAAATTTATTTTAATAATTATTTTTAAAATATTTTTATCAAGAAAGATTATTCATCACAATTTTCTCTTAAAACTTCCTTGGCTTTGCAAGGATGGTTGAATGCTTCAAAATGTGCAAACTGAACTGTCCACCTTTCTCCGTAGTA